TTCGGTTGTGGGTAAAGTGTTGGAAAGGATTATAAGAGATAGGATTTTTAATCATCTGGAAAGGAATAATTTGATTAGGGATAGTCAACACGGTTTTGTGAAGGGTAGGTCGTGCCTCACAAACCTTATTGAGTTCTTTGAGAAGGTGACCAAACAGGTGGATGAGGGTAAAGCGGTTGATGTGGTGTATATGGATTTCAGTAAAGTGTTTGATAAGGTTCCCCACGATAGGCTATTGCAGAAAATACGGAGGCATGGGATTGAGGGTGATTTAGCGGTTTGGATCAGAAATTGGCTAATTGTAAGAAGACAGGGGGTGGTGGTTGATGGGAAGTGTTTATCCTGGAGTTCAGTTACTAGTGGTGTACCGCAAGGATCTGTTTTGGGGCCACTGCTGTTTGTCATTTTTATAAATGACCTGGATGAGGGCGTAGAAGGATAGGTTGGTAAATTTGCGGATGACACTAAAGTCGGTGGAGTTGTGGCTAGTGCGGAAGGATGTTGCAGGTTACAGAGGGACATAGATAAGCTGCAGAGCTGGGCTGACAGGTGGCAAATGGAGTTTAATGTGGAAAAGTGTGAGGTGATTCACTTTGGAAGGAGTAACGGGAATACAGAGTACTGGGCTAATGGTAAGATTCTTGGTAGTGTGGATGAGCAGAGAGATTTCGGTGTCCGTGTGCATAGACCCCTGAAAGTTGCCACCCAGGTTGATAGGATTGTTAAGAAGGCGTACGGTGTGTTAGATTTTATTGGTAGAGGGATTGAGTTTTGGAGCCATGAGGTCATGTTGCAGCTGTACAAAGCTCTGGTGCGGCCGCAATTGGAGTATTGCGTACAGTTCTGGTCGCCGCATTATAGGAAGGATGTGGAAGCATTGGAAAGGGTGCAGAGGAGATTTACCAGGATGTTGCCTAGTATGGAGGGAAGGTCTTATGAGGAAAGGCTGAGGGACTTGTGGCTGTTTTCGATGGAGAGAAGAAGGTTAAGAGGTGACTTAATAGAGACATACAAGATGATCAGAGGATTAGACAGGGTGGACAGTGAGAGCCTTTTTCCTTGGATAGTGATGGCTAGCACGAGGGGACGTAGCTTTAAATTGAGGGGTGATAGATATAGGACAGATGTCAGAGGTAGGTTCTTTACTCCGAGAGTAGTAAGGGCGTGGAATGCCCTGCCTGCAAAAGTAGTAGACTTGCCAACTTTAAGGGCATTTAAATGATCATTGGATAAACATATGGATGATAATGGAATAGTTTAGGTTAGATGGGCTTCAGATTGGTTTCACAGGTTGGCGCAACATCGAGGGCCGAAGGGCCTGTGCTGCGCTGTAATGTTCTATGTTCTATGGTCCTCTACCACCTAGAAGGACAAAGACAGCAGGTACATGGGAACACCACCACCTTGTAGATACCCTTCCAAGCCACTCTCCATCCTGACTTGGAAATATGTTGCTGTTCCTTCAGTGTCGCTGGGTTGAGCTTCCTCTCTAACAGCACTATGGATGCTCCTACAACCATGGCTACAACAGTTCAAGAAGACAACTCGCCATCTCCAAGACAACTAGGGATGGGAAGTAAATGCTGGCCCACACTGCGACACCTGCATTCCATGAATTAACTGACAAAAACTCTGTGGATTGGGTGAGATGCCCACCAGCAATCTTTTTCGAGTCACTCCGTCATATCTGCTCTCTCAATGCAGTGGAGAAGCAACAACCATTTGCCATTACGTAGCACATTTTACTGTTTTTTAAAAAAACACCTATACATTTCCCAGGAGAATGCAGACACTGAATACCAGTAAAAAAGACTGACAAATAAGGAATTTTACAGATGGGAAGGGAATAGCAAAGCTGGGGCTTTTATAGAGAAGATTGCTGACATCAAGGAGTGAACACTTCCAATTACTATTTTGCAGATTATAGTAGAATTTTGAGCCTTTGCGTTTCTGTCAAACAGAGTATCATTGGATCATTGGATCATTGGAAAATTTGTGTCACTGACTTGTATGTTGCTTCATTCACTCAGATAGCTTTGTTCAGCCTCTTGCTGTATTTGGTGGTATTAATTTCCTCCTTCATGTTATATGGTTATCATTAGTGCACATGCTGATACCGCATGATTCTGGAGCAAGATGATCTAACATTCTGACTACCCTGTATGTTACAGACAGAAAGAAAGATCTAAGTAAGATGAAGAGCCTCCTGGACATCCTCACTGACCCTAATAAGCGGTATGGCATGAATTATGCTGATATGCAGAGATGATGTGTTTTATATTGAGACTGTCTCTATTGTCTGTTCTCCATTCCGTGGGTTACTGTCAACAGCCTGGTTCTCAAGATTACTAGTCCCACTGACAGAACTGTGACTCTTTCCCCTGCTGTGTGACTTACTTACACTGCCTCGCTTGCCATTTCCAAACAGTGTGCAAATGTTTAATAGGCCTTTGGCTATTGGCCAGCCTCCACTAACCTCTCTTAGATATTTTCTAATCAGCCTGTTCAGAGATGTTATCACACAGGTCTGGAGCACTCGGAACTTCAACCTGGCGGGGGGGGGGGCCCACCTGGCTCCGAGGTAGGGACACTACTACTGTACCACCAGACCCCTCATACAATCTCTTTTACTCCAACTACTTTCAGTTGGCCATTTCAACAGATCAATACGATGAATACTGAATGTACTTGGATGTTGCTGAACTGGTCCAACTTGGCTGTATTTTGATCCACATTGGTCTGGTAGATCTAAATTTGCCATTTACGAACCCTAAGCGGCAACAGGAACAGAGAAACTATACTTTGATAAACATAGTCATGGTCAGATTGATGCATGACACCTAAGAGCAACGTGGCTGATTCTACTTTGTCCAATTCAGAATTAATGACAAATAGTGGTTTAGCAAGTGGCATACTCATACTCATCCCCGCTTCAGCAGTTTTAACACAACTCCATATTGCATGGCTTGGAAAATGAACAGCATCAACTTGCCATATGGTTGCAGTGATAAATGTGTGGGACAACACTGCACTGGAGAGGTAGAAACTAGATTTAAGAAGTCAGGAATGGACAATTTCAGTGAAGAGGAAAAATTGGATAGGCTGGGAATGTTCCCTGTGGAGGCTGAGGGAAGATTTCATTGAGGTGTATAAAATTGTGGGGCCTATATTGAATAGATAGGAAGGAACTATCTTCATTACCAGAGAGATCAATGATGGAGGCATAGATTTAAAGTGATTTATGGGAGGACTAGATGGGAATTTGTATGCAGTGGAGAGTGGGGTCTAGATTTCACTGTATAAAAGGGTGGCAGAGACAGAAGCCCTCATAACCTTTAAAAGAAGTACTTGAGGTGTTGCAAGCTGTAGAGTTACTGACCATTTGCTGGAAGGTGGGATTAGATGAAAGCTCTTTACCAGCTGATGTGGACACAATGGCTGAATGGCCACCACGCATCTTGAAACTTTTTCAGTGTTTCTGTATTGAAAGACTGATTCCTTCTGTTATTGATACGAAAGGATTCATTCAATTTGTTTTCACAGATGCTCTTTGGCAACTCTCCAAAAGTGTGAAATTGCTTTGGAAAAACTCAAGAATGACATGGCTGTGGTGAGTTCCACTGTTTATTATGGTAACACTCAACCTTAAGTGTTTTCCCAGATTTCCCACCTTCTGTAGACCCTAATTGGAGTTCAGATTGTATTAAAAATTGGCAACGTTCTTGTACCTAGCCGGGGACCCCTTCCTCCCATGCTACTGAAACCACTGAGAGCAAGCAATTATTTGACTATTGGGTGCCTCAGCCTAGCCCTATCCTGCCTTCATCCACCTTTCATAGAGACAGGAGTATACCATTCAGCTTCTCAAGCCCATTCTAGCATGTATGGAGATTCTACTGGGAATATTAGGTAGTGCTTAAGAGCAGAAACCTGTTTGGAATATTTTTACTGCTATGTCCTAACCACACCATAATCCCAGAGGACCATGGGGCTGCTCTGTCATTGAACAGAGATGATTGGTGATGGATTTAATTGAGGGTTACCGCACCTCAGGCGAGGGGTGAGGTTGAGAAGGCAGGACCTACATGGTGACCTTAACTGGTGTGGGAATTGAACTTGTTGGCATCACTCTGTAACTGGTCGCCTGGTTTATGATGCAAAGTGACGCCAGCAGCACAGGTTCAATTCCCCCACTGGCTGATGGTAGCATGAAGGTCCCGCTTTCTCAGCCTCACCCCTTGCTTGAGGCGCAGTGGCTCTCAAGTGAAAAAACTATCACCAGTCATCTTTGTCCAATGAGAGAGTAGCCCCATAGTGCTCTGGGATTGTGGTAACTTTACCGTTATCTCTTCTGGGGAAAAGAATTAGAAAGAAATGATTAGAGAGCCTCCCTGTGGAGTTTCCTGGGCTGGTTTAAGATCATAGCCAGAATTATTTTGTGGGTAGCTGGTTCAAGAATTGCTGAGATGTTTATAATCTATATGTTTATGGAGTATTCCAGAGGAAGGGACAGTTTCTTCACCAGAGTATCTATGACAGTCAAATTTTGCTGACGTTTTGGATTGAACTCTTGTAAGTTCAGGCAATGGCCTACTGGTATTATCACTGGACAGTTAATCTAGTAACCCAAGTAATATTCTGGGCACCTAAGTTCAAATCCTGCCATGACAGATGGTGGAATTTGAATTTAATAAAAATCTAGAATCAAGAGTCTAATGATGTTCATGAATCCATTGTCAACTGTTGGAAAAACTCATGTGGATCGTTATTGTCCTTTAGGGAAGGAAACTGCCATCCTTACCTGGTCTGACCTACATGTGACGCCAGACACACAGCAATGTGATTGATTCTTCACTGCCCCCGGGCGATAAATTCTGGCCCAGTCAGCAATGCCCTTATCCCATCAATGAATAAAAAAAAAATGGGAGCAAGTTCTCCCCTCCACATATGATACCTGCTTTGAGCTAATTAGCTTCTTTTTGTTAACATAGATAATCTGTGACAGCACTTTAGGATGATGGTTAATAATGTTTCTGTTGTGTTCACAGCCCACACCACCACCTCCACCGATGACCATCACAAAGCAGCAGTACCTGTGCCAGCCCCTCCTTGATGCTGTCCTGGCCAACATCCGCTCCCCAGTCTTCAACCATTCCCTACAGCGAACCTTCGGGCCTGCCATGACTGCCATCCATGGACCACCAATCACGTATGTACCATAATGTCTCATCCCTTTGCCCATAGAGTGTGGATTACTGGACTGATTTGGCTGCAGGAACATATGCTTCATTGATGAGCTGACTAATACTTTGGGATTACTTTAGGAAGAACTTATTTTTATTTAGTTGCAGTCTCCCTTTCTTAATCCCAATGTTGATAAAACAAAAATGTTGCCATAGTTTTACCAGACCAAAGGGCTGATGGTCACCACACCTCAGGCAAGGGAAGAAGTTGAGAAGGGGAGTCATTCATGGTAAGCTCAGCCGGTGCGGGAATTGAACCCCCACTCTATATTGCAAACCAGTCACCCACCTAACTGAGCTAAGCCAACTCAGGGAGGATTGATGGCTCAGTGGTTAGTGCTGCAGCCTCAGCGCCAGGGACCCAGGTTCAATTATAGCCTCGGGTAACTGTCTATGTGGAGTTTGAATTTAATAAAAATCTGGAATCAAGAGTCTAATGATGTTCATGAATCCATTGTCAACTGTTGGAAAAACTCATGTGGTTCGTTATTGTCCTTTAGGGAAGAAAACTGCCATCCTTATCTGGTCTGGCCTACATGTGACGCCAGACACACAGCAATGTGATTGATTCTTCACTGCCCCCGGGCGATAAATCCTGGCCCAGTCAGCGATGCCCTTATCCCATCAATGAATTTTTAAAAAATGGGAGCAAGGTCTCCCCTCCATATATGATGCCTGTGTGTGTTTCCTTCGGGTGGTCCGGTTTCCTCCCACAGTCCAAAGATGTGCAGGTTAGGTGGATTGGCCATGCTAAATTGTCCAAAGTGTCCAGGGATGTGCAGGCTAGGTGGATTAGCCATGGAAAATGCAGGGTTACAGGAATAGGGTAAGGGCAGTGGATCTGGGTGGAATGCTGTTTGGAGGGTTAGTGTGAACTTGATGGCCGAAATGGCCTGCATCCCCACTGTAGGAATTCTGTGACTCATAATTATTGTTGGTACATTTTTTTAACCCCTCTCTCCACACAAAACCACTCAGAGTTAGAGCCTTCTTACCTGCTGCTGGATCTTGGTGAGACTCTTTGAGATATTTTACCACGTTAAAGACATGAATAAAATTTAAGTTGCGTGCATTTTGTAGTATCAAAGTGTGAGATGCTCATATGGAAACACAAGACTAGGGAACTTAACAAAAATCTTTAAGATTGGGAAAGGGTAGATAGAGATGGAGGAAATGTTTCCACTTGTGAAAGTACCAAGCATAATCCTTAACACACGCAATTGGTAACAGTTTATCTGCGCATCATTTAATCGAGTCCACTGTATTCACTGTTCACAATGTGATCACCTCTACATTAGAAAGGCGAAACACAGACTGGGTGACCACTTCGCAGAACAGCTGCGTTCTGTCCACATTAAGGCCCCTGAGCTTCTAGTTGCCTGCGCTTCAACACACCACCATGTTCCCACGCTAATATTTCTGTCAGAGGCCTTCAGCACTGTTCCAGCAAGGCCCAACGCAAGCATCAAGAATAACATAGAACATAGAACATTACAGCGCAATACAGGCCCTTCGGCTCTCGATGTTGCGCCAACGTGTGAAACCAATCTGAAGCCCATCTAACCTAAACTATTCCATTATCATCCATATGTTTATCCAATGATCATTTAAATGCCCTTAAAGTTGGCGAGTCTACTACTTTTGCAGGCAGGGCATTCCACGCCCTTACTACTCTCTGAGTAAAGAACCTACCTCTGACATCTGTCCTATATCTGTCACCCCTCAATTTAAAGCTATGTCCCCTCGTGCTAGCCACCACCATCCGAGGAAAAAGGCTCCCACTGTCCACCCTATCTAATCCCCTGATCATCTTGTATGTCTCTATTAAGTCACCTCTTAACCTTCTTCTCTCTAACGAAAACAGCCTCAAGTCCCTCAGCCTTTCCTCACAAGACCTTCCCTCCATACCAGGCAACATCCTGGTAAATCTCCTCTGCACCCTTTCCAATGCTTCCACATCCTTCCTATAATGCGGCGACCAGAACTGTATGCAATACTCCAAGTGCGGCCGCACCAGAGTTTTGTACAGCTGCAACATGACCTCATGGCTCCAAAACTCAATCCCACCACCAATAAAACCTAACACACCACACGCCTTCTTAACAACCCTATCAACCTGGGTGGCAACTTTCAGGGATCTATGCACATGGACACCGAGATCTCTCTGCTCATCCACACTACCAAGAATCTTACCATTAGCCCAGTACTCTGTATTCTTGTTACTCCTTCCAAAGTGAATCACCTCACATTTTTCCACATTAAACTCCATTTGCCACCTGTCAGCCCAGCTCTGCAGCTTATCTATGTCCCTCTGTAACCTGCAACATCCTTCCGCACTATCCACAACTCCACCGACTTTGGTGTCATCCGCAAATTTACTAACCCATCCTTCTAC